GGGGAGTTGGGATAAAAGGGGAGTTGGGATAAAATGGGAGTTGGGATAAAATGGGAGTTGGGATAAAATGGGAGTTGGGATACTCAACACTGCGGGGACAGAGAGACGGGAAAGGGGAGTTGGGATAAAGTGGGAATTAGGGAACTCAGCACTGCAGGGCACGGGAAGGGGAGGAAATGGGAATTCCCAAAACAGAAGGAGGCCCCGGGGTGGCTCCGAGGTGAGTTGATTATTTCAAAAATTCGTGGTTTTTCCGCCTCGTTATGGAACTAAAATTCTATTTAATTTGAGAAATTTGGTGGGAATTCTGGTTTTTTTTTGGTGTCACCTCCTCATCTGAACCTGCAGCCGAACCCCTCCTGAAGATCCTCTGCAGCTCCAGCTGCAGCTTAATTGGATGTCGCTTGTCTAATTATGCTAATTATGCTAATTAGCCATTAGTTATCATCAATTACATGTCAGGGTGGGGCTGGGAAGGGGGTGAAAAGCCAGGCACTGGTTCCAGTAAGTCCCGAGGAACTGGGAAGGGGTTCCCACCCCCCCCCGGATCATTAATGGCACTCCCAGCCTAATAATTCCAATTTTTAATTAATAAACTGAGAAGTGAATTTTTTTCACTCCAAACTACCAATTCAGTGAATTTATTTACAGAAAACCACCGGATCTGACACAGTCAGGGACGATTTACTAAACCCTTGTGCCAAATCCTTCAGGCCTGGATCCCTAAAACCCCTCCCCAATCCACTCTTTTTATGGAATTTTAAGGAAACCCCCCCGTGGGCCGATCCTCGTCAAGGATGGAAATAATTAAGAGGGAGGAAAATGAAATTCCCCATCATTTCTAATTAACCTGTAATTAAAGCCCGGCCCAGGCGAAGGGGCCGCGGCCTCGCCGGGTATGCAAATGCAATCAGTGCCTTTGCATCTCATTAATTAGGGATCTGGCTGGGACCAAACCGAGGCTCCTGCTCCACGTTTTCCCTTTTCCAGGAGCAAGAAAGGCAGGAAAGGGGAGAAATGGGGGGTGGGGGTGGAAAACCCCCCCGGTGGGAATCAAAACGGCCTCGGCAGGGGGAGAATGAGCCAAAAACTGGCATATTTGGGCAAAAATGAATGAAAACCTGATTATTTGGGGGCAGAAATGAACCAAAACCTGACATATTTCAGCCAGAAATGAACTAAAATTTGATGTATCGGGGCCAGAAATAAATCAAACTGCTGTTTTAGGGCCAGGAATGAACCAAAACCTGACCTATTAGGGCCGATTTCCTCCAAGACCCAACCCCATTTCCCACTGAATCTGCATTTTCCAGTGTTCCCAAATCCCCCTTTCCTCCCTAAACCAGTTATTTATCAACCTTTGTCTCTTCCTACCACAATTTTGGCCCCAATTCCTTCAAGAGAAAAAAACCACAAAAAATAAAACCATGGCAGCATTAGTCTGGATTTTGGAGAGATCCAGCAAAAAAGCCCCCAAAGGAACAAACCCCAAATTATGGATTTTTCACATAAAAACAACCCAAACACTTTGTTTTCCCCCCATGCAAGACCATTAAGCCAAAAAAAAAAAAAAATCTTTGTTTTGTGAAATCCCTGAGGAAAAACAGGGAGCGGGTTAAATGGGAGGAAAATTAGGGACAGAATGTGGGATTTTGGGGCAAAATGAGGCTAAAAAAGGGCACCAACGCACCTGTTTTCTCCTTGATCTCACACAGGACACTGAACAGGGCTGGTTTCATCCTGTGGCAGTTCAGGGCGTGTTTCCTGGGGGAAAAAAAAGTAGGAAAAATGAGCCCAAATCCACGGAAAAAAGCCAAGAAAAGCTCGGGGACAGCAGGTCAGTGAGGGAAGTGAAGGAAGGGATGGGAAAATCCTGGTGACTTCTGTCATTAAAGTTCATTTCCTCAGGAGTGAACTGGGCTGAAAACACACAGCCTTTAAAAATTCCAAGTTTTGGCCAGTTTTGGGAACCACCACGTGCCTTTGGTGCTGTAAAAAGTGCAATTTTAAATGTATATTTAGTATCTTTTAATAGATAGGTATGTTTATAAGTGTATTTGTGAATAAGTTTGTAATTTGGGGCCGACTCTCACCAGAAAACAACGGGAAAACCCCCCTGGATGGAACACACCTCAAAAAGTCTCCTGTGCTGCTCCTGAGCCCTTTTCCAATCCAGAACTAATACTTAAATCAGATTTCTGGCTCAGTTTCACCACATTTTTGTATATAAAACACCGTTTTCCAGCGTTTTCGGGGTCCCCTTCCCTGAGAAATGGGCGGGAGGGACCCCCTGGGTGCGACACCCACCTCGAAGGGTCCCTTCGGCCGCTCCCGAGCCCCTCTTTGAATCCACAAACGCGATTCCAATCCCTGGGTTTCAGCGTCTTTCTGACCCAAACCCCGAGCGTTCGGCCCCGGGAAGGACCCGAATCCAGGCTCTCCTCCCGCCCCCGTCCCAGAGGCTGCTCCGGCCGCTCCGGCGAGGCCCAAACCGCGGGATTTCCCCCCAAATCCGGGCTGAGCGCGGCCCCCCCGAGCCCGGCGGGGAGAGAACAAAGGCGGCGGCTCGGGAGCTCCGGGAGGGAGCCCATTGTCCTCGGCCGAGCGGGGAAAACCGGGAAGCGCGGGGAGAATTCCCGGCCCCCGGGTGGAAACGAGCGGCGTTGGGGTCCAAAACCCGTCGGTAATTAATAATTAATCACCGCGGCCGCGGCGGCGGCGTCACGCGGGAGGCTCGGCCCCGCCGGCTCCGATCCCTGCCCAGCCCGACTCCCGGGCAAGTTTCCAGCTTGGATCTTCCAAATCCCCGGCGTGGGACCCCCCGAAATCCGCCAGGGGTTAAAATAACACCCGAAACCCACATTTTCAGTGTGAAATATTGAAGTGAATTCCCCGCAAATGTGGCAGCGCAGCAGCATCGACCCGGCTCGTCTCCGGGTAAAACCTCACCAAACCCAACCAACTTCCCACCCACAAAACAAAAAACCTGATTTTTCCACATATTTCCGTGAATTCCCACGAAAATGCACCAGAAGGGCTGTAACATTTGGGGCCCAGCTGGAGCGTGAGGGCGGTTTTGGGTCAATATCGAAGGGATTTGGTTGAACAACAGTCAAAGCTCAGCCTTCAACCTACTTGAAACTAAAACTCCCAACAAGCTCAGAATGGTCTTAAATAGCAATAATTGTCCTCAATATTCCACGCCTCTGGAATGCCCCAGGGGAGCTGCAGGTGAGAACAACACCAGGAAAGAGACAAAAAAAGTCAAGTTTTGGGGGAAAAGTGACAGTTCCACACGTGCCCCGCTCGGGTTCCGCCGCCCCACGGAGCCACACTTGGAAATGAACCCAAAGAGCCACATTTCAACCCAAATTAGGAGGGTTTAGAGGGCAAAGCTTCTCCTCATGTTCACGTGAATCCATCCAATCCCCTGGAATTTGGTGATAGCGACCGGCACACCCAAAACTGGCCAAACTTTGGGGGCAGATTAATGAAAACAGGCGGTTTTATCACGCTGGGACATCCCCCAACACCCAACCACGGGAAAACCACAGGGATGGGGGGGGGAATAGGCCCCAAAAGCCCGTTTTGGTGGGATCCAAACCACCTCCCTTGTGGAGGACCCGCTAATTAGGGGGAGGTAATTAGCTGGTTCCAGCCAGGGGCTGCAGAACCCACTGATCCCGCTCCTTGCCAGGCCGGTGGTGACGTCCGGGGGCGGTTTTCCTGTTAAATTGAGGAATTCCAGGTGGGGGTGAGGGATGAAGGATCCCCCCTATGTCCCCAAACCTGGGGGTCTGCAGCCCCCCCACCCCTTCCTGGTCAAACTTCACCCCCCAACACCTCCAGATTCCCTGTTCCCGGTGGCTTTTCCCCATTCCCAGTGGTTTCCCCCCATTCCCAGTG